AGTTAGGGCGACACCCTAATACCACTCTTTGTCCTTGTGTGGCCTAGGTTGATGTTGCGACTAGTCATGTTATAGGGTTGACTGTGGCGTTGTTCGCACAATTGAAGTCTTTGCTCGGTGATGATCCTCAGGTTTCTTCATTCATGCCACTTGATCGTGTATCTAACATGGCAGGTATGGTTTCTCCTCACAATTAGTCGTGGTTCATCGATAGTGGGTGTAACGATCATCTTGTTAATGACAAATCTTTGTTGGCTGAGGAACATGATCGTTCCCTGGCGCCTTCAGGTTCGATTTCCAAATGGAATGGTACACATGCTCTAAGTATAGGGTTAACACGATTGTCTAGTGACATTCAGGGTTTGCACATCCCTGATCTTTAGTGCAATCTACTATTCGTCAGGAAACTCACGGCTGATCTGCCAGTGGGATTAATCTTTCTATGCAACTTTTATGTTATCCTGACTTACTCTCCATTAAGATTATTAGGATGTAGCAACATCTTGATGGCCTCTATTATCTTCTACTATTTATAAGATCTCTCATGATGGCTAATTCAATACATCAAGCAATTGATAGCTCGTTCTTGTAGCATTCGCTTCTAGGGCATCTGTCGGGGGCAAAATTTAGTCATTTGCAATATTTCTTGTCCACTTGTTCAATCAACAAAACCTTGTCATTCTTGTAAGCACACTCGGAATCCTTTTGTTTCCAGTACCATACAGTCAAAGACTTGTTTTGAGTTGATTCAATCGTCCCATTGGATGAACCAATGTTAGTGAAATCAACCTATTTAATTAGAGACGTCTAATATTAATATATATGTTTGCTAATAAGAGAGTTGAAGTTATTATAGAAGTTAGAGCATAGATGATATGTTTTCAAATTCTAAGTTCTCTTTTTTTTATCCTATAGTTGTCTTGTGATGAACAAACTTTGTTGCTATAGTTGTTATGAAGATACTTAAAAAGTGGGTATAATTGTTATACCATTGTGTCATTTTCAACGTCCATAAATCTCATATCATCTTGCATTTGTCTAGACATATAATCTTCGTAAAGATTTGGTTTCCCACGGATGATAGGATATTGTATTCTAGGCCCCCTATTGTCGGTCTTCGATTGTCCACTATTTTCAAACATAGGTAGAATATAATTGTCATTTAGTTGGTCATTCGATGAAAGCAATAGACCGTTTTGCTGACTGATTCCAGAAAGCAATTGTAAGATGAAGGGAGTGTGTCATATGGTCGACCTCTTGTCGGAAGCGGTAGACCAGTTTCATAAAGCGATTGACCGATTCCCTGAACGGTATATTAATTACCAGAAGCAGATAATTGTCTTCTCTAAATTACAATGACTTACAAATCACCATATGCATGCCCTAAATATTTATTTAATTTTTGGAGGAGATTATTATGCAACTAATCATAAATTATTGCCTAGTCACCATCTCTAAATCCCCTACTCGACTAACTCTCCCTACCTATTCGACCTTAATTTCTTATCCTTACCCTAATCTCTCTTCTCCTCTTCCCTAAATCTGATTCTCTTTACTATAATCCCTAAGTACTGATTCAAGCATAATTACACATGTTTTTACCCCATTTTCTTGTGACGTATGTGGCATTTACGTCACCCGATGTTCAATTTTACGCTAGGTTTGTGCGTGTTTTAGCATGTTTCAGATCTTAGTAGGTGGAATTGGCTTCAAGAGCAAAAGTCGAACGAAGGAGGACAAAAATGGACCGAACTGGACAAACAGGCAGAGATCACACCCAAGGAGCGAACTAGGACATGAAGATGTAAAACTTCTAGGAGACTTTGCACGTCTCGCGGGCGAGTCAGTTGTCACGATCACCTGACCGTGACAATTTCCACTCCGCCGTGATGACTATTAATGAAATGGCGCGTTATGGGTCGAGATAACGGGCATGCTTCCGACATCACGGGTGTGACAATCGACCATGAAATGTGCCCGGCTGGAGTATATAAAGAGAAGAAAGATGAAACCTTAGAGAGAGAAAGTCACGATCCAAAACAGAAAGAAGAGGGTTTTGGCCTACCCTAGGCTTGAAGAGTGGAGATTTCTCCTCCAATGAGGCAATCCACGCACTTAGAAGGGAGGAGAAGCATCTTACCCTGGTTGTTTCCTCCATCTTTGTTGTATTCCTCTTCTTAGCCATGGAGTAGTTCCCCAATAAACTTGGGTATTGTGAACCATAGTCTAGGATGTGTTAGATGGTAGGAATTGAACTCTATGTGTGATGGATTTGTGTTGAACATAATGTTTGAGGTATTTTTCATGATTTATTAGTGTTGTTCTTCGTATCCCAAACTTAGGTCAAATTGACCTAAGTGGAGGAAATCCCCCTTTGGACCATAAGAAACTAGATTTCTTAGACAATTGGGTAACCTCATCTCGGCAATTAAGGGCAAGCATCAAATATCAATTAGCACCATGAATTAATCATTATTGGTTAGTTTTTGCAGTCCGGATTAGCTTACGAGCTTATTGTGGCAATCCTTGATTAATCGGCTAAGAGAGTGGGGTTTTCCTACTAATTGTATCCTCCTCACGGTATATAATTACACCATTCCACACTAGAGTTCCATTCGTTTGACCTTGACACGAGACTAGGGGGAGTCAAGTTTTCTCACATCGAATTCACCACAATTTACTTTCTTTGTTTGCTTTCAACTATAGTTCTTTAGCTTTAACTCCAAATCATTTGCTAGATAACAATTCAAACGATTGAAGTAGGGGTACATGGACAGCCTCGGGTGGACATTTAAATACTGGCTCTATTCTACACCCGATCGTTGGTTATACTTGGATATCAATTGGGAATAGTTTAGTGTAGTAGCGAGTCAAGTGCATAAAGCCATAAACTCTAAGATCTTAACATCGTCGCCTCTTGATTCGGATTTCCTTTCATACTATATATTTTTTATATGCTTATCACACTCGTATCGTTACTTTATGGTACGACCACCTAACCATCGTTCAAGGGATGTTTGGAACGATCACGAAGTACGTACAATTCTTCATCATTTCTCTTTCTTTTAATTTGTTAACGTACTTAGTGGAACATAAAATAAATTTGAAATAATTTAATCGTATTGGTTGTTTTCAATAATTTAATCGAATACATAGCGCCACTTACTTCGACTATTATAAAGAGATGCACGTCTAAGGAAATGAGGTTTTAAGCGATTATCATGATCCTCCCATTTCCTGTGAAAATCGGATATTAAGAGATCCTCGGATCCCCCCTTTTTCTGTCAAAAAGGCTGCGTTTCTAAGAAGATGTATACCTCTTCTAAGAGTCTAACGAGTGTTGCATTGTATTCGATTAAATTATTTAAAACAACCAATACGATTAAATTACTTACCAAACAACCAATACGATTTATGTTTATGTGTACTTAAATGAATTTTATTAATTTCAAATTTTTGAATATGTATGTATCTTTTTAAATTATTATTCATTAAGAATGTTATTTATGTCAATTAATTTAGTATGTTTGTTTTATGATAATATGTATATATCTTGGAAAAAACAGCAAATTACTTAAATTTGATTGTTAATAATATAATTATAATAGAATTATATTCGAAATTAAATCATTAATTTTAATTAATTTAGTTATAAGACTAAACTATTACTAATATATCATATATAATTTTAATAATGGTTGAAATTAAATCATTAATTTGAATTTATTTAGTTATAAGACTAAACTGTTACTAATACATCATAAATAACGTTGAAATTTTTGCTAGGAGACACAACAAATACTCCGCTACAGGGGTACGACCAATGTGCTCCGATGGAACCCAGTTATCTTTCCCTATCTCAAAAGGGCACGGTTGGAGTCGATTAGGCATTTTGTAGGCATAAAAGTCGATCGCCAACTCATCACCGCATTGATGGAGAGATGGAGAAAGGAGACGCATTGCTTCAACTTTCGCGAAGGAGAGTGCACCATCACACTCAAGGACGTCGCCATCCTAACTCATCTGCCTATCGAAAGCAAAGCGGTGTGGGTGAGTGATCATCCCCCCGGTATGATTGGTTGGCAGTATTTCATCCACAATGTTTTGGGGGTGAAAGTACCAACCAAGGGGAGCGTTGATGCGACAGATCGCTTGCCACCATTGAGGAAAGGCCAAGTATCAATCACTTGGTTGACGAAGTATTTTAGGGACCATCACGATCCTGAAAAGGATGGGGTGCCCCCAAACCGAGGAAAGTCCCGAGCTGGAGAAGGAAAGATATGCTCGTGTCTATCTCATATGCATGATAGGAGGAGTGTTCTTCTCCAAAAAAATTGAGCAATTTAATTAGCTGTGGATGGTTTAGGATCCTCCTTGGTAGTTGGGATGCGATGGGAGAGTTGAGTTGGGCATCCGCTTGCCTAGCTAATATCTACCACCATTTATGCAACGCATCTCTCAAAGCTGTGAGGGAGGTCGGCGGCGCAATGTTCATCGTCTAGTTTTGAGCTTGGGAGCATCTGCCATAGATTGCACCGCTCAAATGTCCCGACAGGAATTGGGGTCTCGATCATCCCCTAAGACTCGAAGCTTATGGTTGTAGGTAAATTTCTCATACCCCATCATGATTTTAATAACACAATTTTCCTTATTTTTTAGCTTATTTTAATTGAGCGTATTTTTATTATCGTTTTATTAATAAGGTGGGTTGGAGCCTCAACATGCGACAACATTGCCCAACACAAGTTGGTAGAGTATCGGAGGAGGCTAGAGCGACTTTCGGAAGGAGAGGTAACTAGAAAACTTCTAAGTGCTATAACTTTTTTTCATGGAGTACATGTATTTTTCCAATCAGATTTAACTTAAGTTACTAATATTTTTTTTGTAGATCAAATTCGATCCATACCCGGCGAACAACGTTCATTGGCATTTACAGCAATTCCCCGAGAATATCGGGCAATGGTGCACGAGGGTCCCTCTCATTTTTTTTAGGGACCGTGGAGTGGCACCTACCGGATCGATGCCTTCGTCAGTTTGGTCGGGAGCAGTGCATTCCGTTGGAAGTCCCCGAGAGTCAAAGGGCGTTTCACCACCGAGATGGTCGGCAAGGTACTCACGATTGGCCCAAGAAGTTGGCGGAATTGATCGCGGTATGGGAGAACCGACAACTTCAGGATATTGTCACTCCAAAAAGTATGGGTCGAATGGGGTATCATGACCCTTACATGGATAAATATCGGCAAACATCGGTTCGGTACGTGACTCCGGAGGTTGCGGCCGATGGTGCAATGGTAAGTATATTCCGTCTAATAAGATTAAATTTATTGCTTATTTTATTCTGTCACGTCATTAGTCTTATCTTGCTAACCTTTTTTTGTGATTTAGGCTGATGGGATCGAGCGGATCAAAGCGTTGACCCATGGGAAACATGAAATGGGACATGAAGATGTGAGCTTCATTCGGAGGATGACAAACAGTCTGTTTGGCTGTATCAGAGCACAGGGTCGTGATCATCGTAGATACCCACCCATGCCCGCACCGGTGCCACCTCCGGTACAAGTCGATGTCCCCCATTCCCCACCACCATACGACATAAAGAAAAGCAAGAAGGTTCGGGAAAGACCTCATGAGCCCGAGATAAAGCCGTTGGAGGTGTGGAGAGTGCTGACCCCCTTGGTTGTGGCACACGGTGGCGGTCCGAGCTCACATCAAGATCCCCGTCCGAGCCACTCCCAAGATCCCCGCCCGACCTACCATCATGAGCAATTCCCGAGCTCATACCATGATCTCCGCCCGAGCTACCATCAATCCCCTCCGAGCTACCATCAATCTCCATATGATCCCCACCCGATCTCATACCACGATCCCCGCCCACTATACTATGATCCTCGCCCTACATACTATGATCCCCGCCCAAACTTATTCAACGAACCCTCCACATCTTCAGGTACTTGGCATGATGGTTCCTCCACGACTGCGCATCACGACTTTAATCTCATTCCTCGCCCACATCAGTCGTGGCCTCCTACCCCTCACCGTATGAGCGTCGATGTCCCCCGCTCGACCCCGGAAGCGCCGCATACCACGGATCGACGCCGACACAGCACCGACGAGCGCCTTTTATAGGCATCGGTCTGGTAGCGACCTTTATTTTCTGAAAATTGCCACCGACGTAGGTGTCCCCCTTTCCGCTCTCTTCCGTGTAACCATTCCACTGTAACCCAAGGTGCGGTTTAATGACAAAACGCACCAGGGGGTGCGGTTTACATGCAAAACGCACCTGGGGCTGCGGTTTTTAGAAAAGGGTGCTATTTTTGTAATTTACGGAATTGGTGCTATTTTTGTAAAAAAAAAAGAATAAAGGTGATATTTCTGTAAAAATTCCGAAAAAATTTTCATCCATTTTTTTTTTCTTTTTCGGATTCCAACTCACATCCATGTCAAAGATATTAATTTATCAATGAAAAATTCGAATCATTTGTCATTTGAACTTCGAACAACCCGTCTCCAATCCGCCCACTTCCCATTCCTACATTACATTTTTCACAATTTCTCGAATGTTCTGACTTCAACTGACCAAGTTAATTAGCCCTGTCTTTTCTTGGTTTTTTATTTTTTTGGGGGGGTTAAGCATGCAAAGTTAACCTCGCTTTTTAAAAGTTGAAACAGATTGCATTTGACATCAAAAGAAATGAAAGTTGGGCGCCAAAGGAAGGTGAAGGGGACAATTGTGCCCTTCATGATTGGATATCAGCCTAAGAGCCTAAGTGTACACAAAAGTTCTTTTGATATAAACTCCACCAATTCACTCTCACTCTCACTCTCTTTTATCGTTTGGGGATCAGTCAAGATCTCAATGGGTTGGCTCCCACTTTCCTAGCTAATCCCAATTAATTAAGCAAGCTTGTGTTCAATAATTAAACATTCATTTCTTGTTGAGCTACCGTGTAAAGCAAGCAATAATATACTCGACGCCAAGTAGATGATTACGATTATGCATAGCCATCTTTCGTTTTGTTTTTGTTAAGTAGGGTGTTCAAACGGCGTGGTTACCATGGTAACCATTTTAACCAGTACTATTTGGATAATTTGATTTGGTTGATTTGGATAATTGGTTTGGTTTGGTTAAAGTTTTTAGCTTGTTTGGTTTAGGTGGTTTGGTTTGGTTTCAGACACTCCTAACCAGTCAAACCAAATTAACCAGATAAATAATTAGCCATATATCTAATATATACACATACTTAATACTTTGAATAAGCACTCAAGAGTTAAACGTTCATCCCTTTTAGACTCATAAAATATAAAGCTTGATATTGTTCCTATAATGTATATTTGTATATGTAGAGTGTAGACCACAACATATGAACGGCTAATTTAGATAAATCTCATACATTATGTTGGATGAAAACTTAAAAGCAAGGTCCTTTTCAACCTATGAAAATTGCTAAAAGACTAGTCAATTCATACAAACACAACAATTCATTAACCCATACCATTGTGATAAACTTTTGCTAAGTGGATACTTCTATACTAACCGTAAGATAATTGTCTTAGTTGCATGTATTTATGTTAAAGGTCAACTATAACCAAGCGTTGATTGTTATGTTTTATTCATTATATAAATTGTGAATTGATAAATTAATTGAAATTTTTCTCACTTAATGATAATGTGATTTTATATTGGTTAATCTGGTTAACCAATTAACCAAACCAATTAAACTTTAGTTTGGTTAATTTGGTTGTTGTATTAGTTTGGACGGTTTGGTTATGATATTGTATTCCATGGTTAATGAAATTTAGCCTTATTTGATTTGGTAATAACCATGGTAACCATTTGAACACCCCTAAATGTTAAGTGGGGCATACTGTTAGGGTTGAGCTAAGTACCGTGGAGAATGGAGATGTGTAGCTAAAAAGTGCATGGTTTGAATCACTAGCTTACTTAGTAGGTTGTCTGCCTAGACACAAAAATTTTGGGGACATTTTACCAATCCATTACATAATTTATTAGCTTTAACTAACAATGTTTCTGGACATTACTCTTTAGGGTGTTTAATCCAAATATGACTAACTTCATCTTCATCCGGCATAAAACACAATCCAAACATTAGTTTTTAGGTTTTCTTTAATCCAAATATGACTAACTTCATCTTCATATGAAGTAAAGCTCATTCCAAACATTACTTTTTAGGTTTCTATATGTGACTAACTATCATTGACTTGGTCTTCTGATTTGTCGTGATATGTTGTCGATCTCATATGTCAATATCACTTCTGGTATAAATATGTTTTAGTAGCTTCAATGCTCGAGTCACCGCAAATTATTCTAGGTACTATCAATTGTTAGCAAAATAGCCTTATAAAATAGTACCGTTGTTTTAAGTTCCAGTTACTAGATATGTTGACAAGAATTTATATAAATGTCGTCGATATTGTTCAATTGTGTAGGCTAAATTGCAACCACTAAACCCGCATGATTTATGTTGGTAGGGTTTGGATGGTATGAGTAATGTAAACACTCTAAAGCTCATTATTCTTCTCCCTCTTGCCACCGAGGAGACAAAAACGTAGGGAAATAGTTAATTACGTAAATAAATAAGATGTGAAGTCTTTATATTGCAAATGTAATCCAACCCCATTGAACAGTTTAGTCGGTTTGGAACTTCCCACTTTGAACAACACAACAAATGGCGTAGCATAACAGAACTTCCACCAATCCCCTCAAACGTTCATGTCCTTTTCCTAAAATTAAACAAAAGGAAAGATCCAAATTCCAAACCATAAAACCAAGTCTGCAACCAATGCTGATAATAACAACAAAGAGTGACCCATAAAACAATGAGAGATATCACCATCCATTCCATTGATCCCGCAGCACAGATTCCTTTCCACATAAAACGGCTCAGCCCAGAAAAAAATAACTAAAAAAAGTTATCACAGCACAGCTGAATTCAATCTTTCTGTGGACTGCTCTCTCTGCCTCTGCTCAGACCTCCACTTGCCCAATCTGTGGGTACATCAATAAATTTCAAAACAATATGGTGTCAGCCTGAATTGAAAATTGAAATTACTAGATCAGAGTTTGGTCCCAAACAAATAAAATTGAACATCTTTGCTCAATGAAGACCTATGACAGTATCCTTTTAACATTCCACTAATCACAATTCACACAACCAAATCCAACCGACCCCGATTATTCGATAGTGGTGGTTCAATTAGCTAGTCGGACACTTGATTTTCGTTCCTTCGCGAAAGGTGAGAGACTGTATTTCATCGTGAAACGAGACAGCTAATCAATCTACACTGAAGCAAGCAAGCATGGCCGTTTACATTGTGAAGAGTATTTTGCCGCCTGCTGGTATATGATATCACAGTCCATTCTGCCACAGCATGCAAGCAAATCAATCAAGGTTCCAAATTCCGATGATTTATGCGTTCGTTCTGCTGTCAAAAACACATATTATTGTACCGTTTCTCAGCAACAACCCAAAAGAAGGATAAACAAACACAACCACTGCACTGCCTAACTCCTTAAGTACACAACAACTGCAAACACCGCAAGTAGAAAAAGAAGAATATAAACAAGATTTTTCTGATTCTCTTTTTCAAGGATTCCTCTCTACAATTTATTTATCAAACATTATCCATAAAGGGAGTGAGGAGACACAAACCCACGAACAACAACAACAAAGCCCTTCCCCAAAACAAGAAAACAAACAAAGAAATACAACCAATTCTAACCCTGCTCTGCTCTCCTCTCCTCGCTTTAGCTTGGCTGATGCCAACAAAGAATATTTACACTAGTAAACTCCATTGCTTCCCTACCAACTCTTTTCTTCTGTTTTAGACCCCTTCCAACTACAACAGGTTTCAACTTACCCCACCACCCTCCTTCAAGGGATAGAAGAAGGGGAAAGCAAGTAAAGCCAAACCCTCCAACCCCATTAAAAACCCTCCTCATAAACCCTCAACTCTATCTAACAGTAGTAGTGTACTGTAAGTAGCAGTAGTAGATGTTGCTCATCCCACCATAAAAAAAAAAAAAAAAAACCTAACTTTCTTATTCCTCTCCTTACATCGGTATACTCTCTTCTTAACTCTTCAAAACTGGCATGAAGTCCCAAGCCTCTGCCTCTGTCTCTGCCCTATGGTCACCGATTTCCTCTTCTCAAATGCTGGATACAGCAGCTCGTGGAACTTGTCCAGGAACATACCCCACTCTTCCTCAGGCATATCAGCAAGCTTCACGAAGCTCACACTCGAAGGAAGCTGCTCGTTCGCACTCCTATGCCCCGATGACGAATTCATCAGATACCCGTTCTCCGGCTTGGCACCCGAGAACTTGGGGTACTTCTGACTCTTGTCACTTAGCTTGGTATCTTTAAGAGAAGCAGAGAGCATGGAGATGGAAGGGAACTTCATTGGAGCACAAGGTAGAATCCTACATTCCTCTTTCCCTTCTCCTTCCTCTACTTCACTCTCCTCTTCTTCCTCCTCGATACTTTCATCCAGCTTCGAGAGCATGCTTCGACCCATCCCGTTACCAATCCCAAACTGGTATGCCGGTCTTGACATGAACTCATCAGCTGTCATCTTTGCTGCAAAGTCATGGTTAACCTCCTCACAGTCGATATCGAACTGGAACTCGGCATCTCCTACCACATCAGCCCTGGGAGATACTACCTCTCTCTCAACTATCAATCTCCTTGCCTCCATGCAGACAACCTCGAGTTCACTCGGTTCCTCCTCCCCTGCTCGAAACTCCCTACTCATCATCTCACCAATCTCAGCAAGGCAAAGGCCAAAGTTTACAGCTTCCTTGAGGAAAATGGTGCAGAGATGCAAAACCCTCAAACATGCCTCTCGGATCATGGGGAGCTCCCTCTTCAGCATTACACAATCTTCAACAGGATCGAGCTTTGCGATGTACTCGATCTCATCCTCTGAGAAAGGAATCGAGGACTGTGGCCAATGAATCCACTCGAAATAGGGATCCTCCAGAGTCTCGGGCAAGCAAAGACCATGATCAATTGGAATCAACTCCACTTGCCCAAATCTACCAACAGCATCATCGAACTTCTTCACCAAGAGATTCCCACCATGCCTATCAGTGTTGAAAATCCTAATGTCTAATATACCAATACGGTGCACAGCTGAAACCGGGAAGCTGGAAGTTCCATGATCACTTGCATCAAAATCGTGTTGAATGAACTTTTGGAAAGAAGCAATCTTGCTGGTGACCTGTTTCTTGCTGTTGTGAGCCTTGACACCACCATTGACCCCATCATTCACATTGAAGACAGAGTGAGTGATCTTAACCAGAGCAGTAGGCGGCACACAGGCGAAGTGGTCATGGTCAAGAAGGTAGGCTGCAACTTCCCTGATCCCTGTCTCTCCAACCCTAACCGAGCGTTTTAAGCCTGGCTGCCCTAAAGCCTTCCCAACGAAGCCTTTCGGATTGTTTGGAGCAAAAGGCTCCTCGTCAGTTGGCTTCACAATGGCAACACTCTCACCTCTGATGTTCCTGAAGTAGTATGCACCTCCAAGCCCACCATGAACAGGAAGTGGATCAACCCCATTCTTAATGGCCTTCACACTGTCCTTAACCAGATGTTTCATCTTGGAAAAGCTTTCTGAATGTCCTAATACCTCAATGAGAGCACTCTTATCTTTCTGTTGATTATCCTTACCAGTTGGAGAGAGGCATGGAGTCGATGAGCTTCGATGTAGAAAGTTACGAGTCAAGAGAAGAGGCGAATCATTTCGAACAGCACTGAGGTCGTTCTTCAGCACCATATCCCCAAAAGTCAGTGAACTCTCCTCGGTTGAAACATTGAGGGCGATTGAAAGCCGCCTCTTCACAGTATGGGCGTTGTCACTTCGATCCAGCTCCATCCCCAGAACACAACCAGTCTCAGTTTGCACAAAGACTCGCCTCCTCCCAGCAGGCTGATGGTGTTTCCCGTCTATCATCCTGTTGGTGGTGCTGGTTGCGTTGTTGCCATGGTACTCCCTGCTGAGAGGACTCTTGAAGACTGCTGCCACTGCCATCTGTGTCTGAACTGGGCTGCTGTCCAACTTACGAGACATCAACGAACAGGGAGAACAGAAGGCCGCAGTAAAGGAAAGAGAGCTGTTTTTCTCTCCTCCAATGGATGCGCCAAGCTCAACAAAACCGATCGAGGTTGAACTTGCAGAGAACTCTTAATCATCAATCGATCAGTGACCCGCAAAGTTGGAGACAGTGATGATCAAGACCAGCAAGCCATTTTTTTTTCTTTTCTGAATCAACAGATCAACCAGAACCAAGGATCTGAAACAACAAAATAATAAATGGTCAGAGATATGACTCAAACACTTGACCACAGTGTAATGAAGGATCCGAGGAACACCAAAGGGAGAGTCTGAATAGAAGAACAAGCCACAGCAACAAAAAAGAAAAAAAATCAATAGATCCCACTTGGCCAAATGATTCCAGTGTGATGATGAACCCCACTGCACATTCTTTTCTTTCAAACACAGCAAGAAAAAAATAAGTACCCGCCCATATGTTTACAAAATAGTATATATATTATCCAGAGCATCGATTTATCTTGAAGCAACCATTAATGCATTATTAGCCACTGAATTAAGAGAAAGGATTAGAAAAACTTCCGCTGAGTAACTACAAAAACCCCTCATCTAATAATCCATAACGTTCCCAGATGAGCTTAAGCAAATCCCACCCTCAAAATTAATGTCTTTCAATGTTTATCTTGACTGAAGGAAATTGGGGGGAGAGGAAAAGCAAGCAAGAAATGAGCCAATATCTCACTGATTCTGAAATCAAACGCAAAAGAAGAATGAACAACCCCCAACAATTACAATAAAAAACAGAGAGGAAGGAAAGGTATCAAGTATCTGATAACCCAGAGAAGGAAAATGACAAGAGAACCAAGCATTACAAATTAAAAAGGGAAGGAAACTCAGCACTCACCAGATTGCTAGATCCGGCTGAACCCACACGGAGACGAAGGAATCAGAGCTACCCACGGACCAGAACCACTGCTGGGTTTTTCCACACGAGAACGAGTCGGCAAGAGAGCAATGGAATCGTCCGAGTTAGGGAGGAGGAGGAGTTCAGCCCAGTTGAAGCAATAGAGAAAACCCAGAACCCAGAAAAGAAGAAGGAATAGCAACAACACACAACAACCCGGGGGGAAAAAGGCTGATGCTTTTTTTTTTTTTTTCTAATTCAAAGGGTTCTTCTTCTTCCTCTCTCTCCCTTTACCAGCGCTATGAGCATTCGTTTCCTCCCTTCGGCCTACTTTCTCAGAACGTTCTTCTTCTTCTCCTTCTTATTGCTTTCTCTCTTTATTTTAACTCGGTGTGTGGGTTTGTGGAGGTGAGGGCCGGTGTCACAAACTAACCCTGGTTAAAAACAAACAGGCAAACAAACAAACTCCTTAACTCGAGCTCTCTCCCTCTCTATCTCTCTCCTTCTCAAAGGCTTTATTATTATTGTTAGCTTTTTTTTAATCGGGCTTTATTTGGAAGGGAAGCTTATACAAATTAAGTCATTAACTTGGAGAAAATATAAATTTTTTTTTTTTGGTAAAAAAGAGAAAATATAAATTAAGCCATTAGCTTTGACACTTTGGTAAATAACACATTTCGACAAGTAGTCCTCTAAATTCTTAAAGTTAATATTTTAAATTTTCAAAATTTCCTTTTTTTTTTATAACTCATGAACCTCAACCCCACATGCCACATTGTGACAACGTGATCTACTAAACCTGGGAAGCACATGTACAAGACATAACATCGGGAGACTTCGTCCCCGGCACTCAGGTATGCCTTCGGGAACACACAAACGGCGTCGTTGGGGATCGAACTCAAGACCTCTCACATCCTGAGCCAACCAGACCAACGATTTCACCGCTAGGCTATATTACCTTTGGCAAAATTTCCTATTTTTGGGTAATTGGTTTATGATACTCAATGTTTTTTGTTGTTGTTTCATATATAGTAAAATAATTCAATACTTGTGTAACCGTGTTGTACACTTGTACTAGCTAAATAGTATACAAAAAATAAATCATATTATTTAATCAACAATGAATTTTTACAATCATAGCATTTGGTAGTTGTCACATTTGTTTTGTCTTTGATGATCAATCTCAATAAATTCAACTAGATTGAGGATATTTGAAATACTCTACATTCGTAAATTTCTATATTTGTGACACAAAATTTCATTACTTTGGTCTTTGGCTAACATTCTACTGTGAAGGTTTTGTTGAAAAATCAGTAACGATTAATAAAAATAAAATTTGAGGATTTTAAAATTTATGGTATTAATTGGAAAGACAAAAAAAAAAGGAATTTGGATCAAGTGGCGAGGAAAAAGTTAAAAAACAAAAGGCTAAACCTTGATTTGCCAAGTGGGAGGGGTTTTACTCGGGGGGGATTTGAAGACTCTGCGTGGAGGAAAAGATAAACTGGAAGGCTCTAGAGAAGAGATCGCGACCGTCAGATTCTGAGGCGGTGGGGTGTCTCGGACCGTAGGATGGGAAGTGAGAGAAACTCACATGGTGTCTACGTGGGCATTAAGGATTGGGCAATGACGTGGCGAGGTCAGAATATTAGCAGGTAGAGTCAGCCAATGGGAATTTAACTAAAAGTAAAAAGGTTTACTTTTACATCCCGTTTTTACACTTTTCTTTTCTTACCGTGTTTCCGCTTCCGATTTTTTACCATTACCGCTAAAGTTCCCGTCGGTAGGGTGGTACATGGGTGGTTATTCCGCAGATAAATATCGATACATCCGCAAATAACACAACTCGCAAGTAGTGGGGGATTGATGTGGCTGGATTGCGGATTGATAAAACTCTCACCCGCACTTATGTGGATGGGTGGGTGTGGGTGGATTACGGGTCACCCGAATTACCCGCATCCTATTTTCACATGATATTTTTTGTTTCTTATAGTATCAAATATTCATCATATTTCTGAACTGTACTACAATCTAAGCATATACTTCTAAATCGGGAGAATAAAAAATAGTTTTAACTACTATTATTGGTTATTGTGTTGTGTAATATCCATTGGATATTGGAATGCAAATTATTGTTAATATCCATTAAATATTGGGATGAAAACTATAAATTATAAACTGTATCAAAATCACAAAATGCCCAAGTTTTCTTTGAACAATTGGTTGATAGAGTAGTAAAAACTTTTATGCAAATACTACATGTATTCACTTGAGAATGAGACAAAGGGAGAAGTGTTTAAATTGATACAGACTTACTAATTTACTATGAATTATTATAAATGTTAGTCAACTTTCTTAATGGCTAGTTGGAAAATTGCTTTTGCGAGTTAACCCATGACCAACCGCACCCATCCGCCACCCACCCAACCCGACCCGCAGAAGAATGTGGGTGGATTGAGGGTCACAAATATACCAACTCGCTAGTAAGTGGGTGGGTCAATTTGAAACGAAAATCAACTCAACCCGCCCATTGCCCACCCCTACCCGTCAATAACCCCGTGGTTACTCACGAAGTTCATCGACAAGGAAGCGGTGAAACATATTGGTGCCCGCATTGGGGGACTAAGAAGCATGTGGCAACAAATATTGATAAGGGAACAACCCTTGCGCCCAATTTGAGTGTTACAGATGAGATTAGTGACCCCTGTTTCCAAGCTTTGGCCTCCAAGGAAGGTAATAGTTTGCCATTGGAGACTGCAAAAAGAGGGTTGTGATGTGGTCGTCAAGATGGAAACTGGTGAGAACTTCCCAGGACGAGAATGAGTGTTTTGCACACTATAGTGACCACTATCGAGCCAACGCAAGTAAGTTTCAAGGATACCCAATCCCACACATTCCATCCACGAGATCCTATTGGTAGCTGTGAGGACAAGGTAGTCACTATCCTCATCAAACTATCAACGTGGAAATGGTGGATATGCCAGTGCGCATGGCTCGACCTGCGAAGTAGCCTCACTCCATAAGCACTTCCGAGAAACAAGGGGATCGAAAAAACAAGATCGCGGACAAGGCTCCAAAGGTCAAGAAGAGGTCTTTTCAATATCCCAACAATTAGGGCTGGAAGTTTGGTACCGGTATTTGTGATATACCGAATACTGTACCGAATTTATCACTATTTGGTATTACCGAATACCGAATTACTTTTAAGGGATGGGGATTGGGATTCATTTTGGAATGCTATTAGGTATTCGGGATTACGAGATTGAGATCAGTATATACCGAAATACCAAAAAATACCAAAAATTAAAAATTAATGAAATATAATACACAACCTTTGGTCATTCCTTACTCTTTCACAACTTAGAAGCCCCCATCCAACTCAATTTGACTTTCCAGTTTAAGTCACTCTCGTCCCTCACCTAATCTCTTGTTATTGTCATAACACCAAAAAGCAAACAATAGTATTAGTCGTCTCTCAGCCTCCGATTCGTCAAATTAAAGATTACAAATGACAGGAATTTGAGATGTCACCTCTCCTCCATTCTCCTTATCCATATCCTAGATCTAAGCAAACTCAAGACTCTTTGCTTAGTCTCTTTTCCCTAAATTAAACAATGAATTCTCATTTATATATTTAATTATTAATGGAAAAGATAATTAATTTCATATTCGATAATACAGATTGGGATACCGAAGTACCGATTGGGATACTAAAATATTTAGAGATTGGGATTGGGATACCGAAATTATTTAGGGATTGAGATTGTGATTGATTTTAGGGGTGTAATTTGGTATTCGGGATTTCGGTATTTGGTATTGGGATACCAATACCGTACCGATTGCCACCCTTACCAACAATTAAGCAAAAGGATGCATAGATGGATACTCCTCAAACTATCCTAGTAAAGCCTCAAGAGAAAAAATTAGCAACTGACTTGCGCCAACTACACCACGAATTAATCCCGACTAGAGCTGAAGTTTTTAAACTCTAGCCGGATGCAGTATAAGGCAAGTATGTTTTAATTGTCAAATCCGGGTGGGCCCATGTACCCCTACTTCAATCGCTTGAATTGTTATCTAGCAAAACGGTTTTGGATTTAAAGCTAAGAAAACT